GGTGGTTCACACACACACACACACAGGAAAGGCAGTCATTCATCGGGGACAAGCGGGTACGGTTCTTGCTGCTCACACTGCGGCGGAAAGCTTAAAGGCAAGTTCATTTGTCACTGCCACTACGGAGGTCGGGACGTAGTGAGCGAACAGTTAAAATTTGCCTCGGCAGAAGAAGTGGCTGTAGGTAAGCTGGTTCGTTCTGGGCAGTTTTGAGTCACATGGAATGACATGGAAGCTGCTCTGCTCAACGTAGTGGTGTTCGTTCTTTTCCATGTGAGGCCTGTACTATGTGGCGAGTGTGGTTCTTGCCCCGGCCGAGCTGCCTTCAGTAGAGGCTGTACTCAGCAATGAGGAGGACTCTGTGCAGGAGGCCAGGCGATCACGTAGCGAAACGTGTCAATTCCCGTATGACTTCCATGTCCTATTTCAGTAGCCTGGATTTGACTTTAAACCCTTGGCGCATCAGCTGATGCCGTGCAGTTACAAGATACCTCAGGTGGAAGACGACAGGGTTTTGTACCGGCTGCAGGGCACGCTGCCCGGCTTTGTTTAAGCTAGCTTTCGACGGCTCAGAAGATTGCCATGCTCGGCCGTTTGGGGATTGTTGATGCATAGAAGTTGTTAAAGTGGGGCGATGCTTAGAATTCTGCATGGTTAAACGGAGAGAGCTTTACTTGACTATGTCAAATGCCTCGCTGAGATGGTACTATGGCCAGAACCTCGGCCAGAGCTACACGATTTCAAAGCGAGATGGAAGCTGGAGATTTGAGGAGGAGTTTGCAGGGAGGAGGTGTACCTCAACCCTGCGCCTTGTCGGCGATTGGGCGGAGGGTCAACTCATCGACCAAAAGGGGCAAAGCACGGGGACGATCCGCCTGCAGAGAGGCGAGGGCAACTCTGTCCTGTCTTACGTGCGGGAGCTTGGTAGCTCGAATTGGTCAAATCCCAACGAGGCCATCGGCTGGTGATAAAATCCCACAAAAGCATTGGCCAACCGACTTCTACACAGCGCTTGATGGCGCTTGTAGGTCACGAATTCTTTTTCTGCGTTGTCATCTTTCAGCCAATGGCTATAATTCGATATTTCTTCAATCTTCTTCACTTTGGATCTTCCCAGGAGGTGACTCCTTGCATGATTTTCGGACGCCCGAACGTCTCTTCTTCCAGCTTTCACATCTTGAAGACACTTGATGAAGAAGCTGCAGGCAGCAACTGGAAGCGCGGCAGAGGCATCAAAATGATGCCTGCTAAGCCAGGCGCCAAAAAAATGTGCACCTGTCGGGCAAGAGTCATCGCAAGTCCGAGTGCAAACCTGCTATGGTACTTGAGTGTGGGAACATGCAATGCTCAGATTTCGAAGATTTCGCGAAAGATAACCCTGTCCAGATGATATCATGGTGTGAGCAATTACATCACCAGGTAAGGTTGAGCTCGGAGTCTGAGGGATAACTTTGCAGTCTAGGGGCTGTACGCGCTACTCACAGGTAAGTATGTACATGCAGAGGCACTCCTACTGTGAGCAGTCTCCCGAGTCTTCTTGATGGATCATGTTTATGAGGGGAGACCATGTACACACACAGACCCTAAATGCCGGGAACCTGCGTGGAATTTCAGCCAACGAGTAGCTTGGGGAAATGTCCAGCTGTCCTGAGACACGCTTGCTTGCTTGAGGGCATCATTTTTGAGTAGCATTGCCAGCAATCCTTGCTAGCAGTTTCCAGTAGAATGTCCATGTGTTTTTCTACTATCAGATTTTCCATTAGCTGATTTTCCATTAGCAGGGTAATATCCATATATTCGTCCGCGTTCCCAGTCCCCCCCCCTATCCCGGATGAGGCCATGTCGAAAAACCTCCACAAACCATGAAATCTACATAAAACCCTTCTAAACCCTCTTCAAAGCCTGCTATAAGCCCTCACCACAGGACCCCAGACCACAGGGCCAAAGGATCACAGAGGATGGTAACTCCACCAGCGCTCAATTAAAACGTTGCAAATCTTTACAAACCATTTAAAAACAATACTGAAAACTCTAAACCCGTTATAACCCTTTCGTACAGAGCTATTAACCCTCTTGAACCCTCTGTCTCTGTAAACCCTGTATATAGAATTCTATAAAACTTTCCGCAACTCCAGAAACCCTTTAGTCACCCAGAAAGGCGCTTGAACCTCTCGTAACCCTGTTGTAGAACCCGGAAGCCTTTGTAGACCTTCTATACACTATAAACCTAGTAGAAACCTCCCATAAGAATTCTAAACCCTCTATAAACCTAATCTAAACCCAACAACACCCTCACAGGAACAGGGTCGATCATATTCTATATCATGGACCCAGGGGGGAACAGTGAATGCTGATGCATTTATTCCTAGGATAACCACTAATTTTGGGAAACCTAGGGAGGCTCAGGCATGCGCATGGGTTGCAAAGATCTGCATGCCTGCACTTGGTACAACTGTCACAGCAATCTCGAATACACATCTATGTGAATGTGAGTGGTAGAGACGCAGCAAAAACACGACTTGGGGCCTAAGACAAATCTGCCCTCCCCGGAAATGATCAGATGCAAGGAATGACCGCAGGATAGTGTGAACCCTCATGAGACATGCAACCTTCAGGATACACACTCCAAAAGAGCCAGGCACGGAGGTAGAAGCCACCCCAACCTGCGACCTGCTAGCAACTTGCCGCCACGGTCATGTAGAGATAGGAACTTGATGACCGTCTCAAAGGGTCCAAAGCTGCCATGGCGGGAATACCGCATTCGATGGGCTCACATGCAGCCCATCATGGGCACACAACATCCAGGCCAACAGACCTCTTCGGCTTCACGGAAAAGGAGTACGATGAGGAGCCGGAGCTTGGACAAACTGGCCTCCGGGCTCTGGGAACCACTGTACTGGCTTCTGGAGAGCTGGAGTTCGATGAGGATCTCACTGCAATCAAACACGACGAAGCCTTGTATAGCGCCGTGAACACCATGAAGCGCCACAAGACCATAACTTACGATGACATTGTCTCTTCCCGAGGGGTTCCACAGAATGTCTTCCTGGAGTATGTGAAGTGGGAAATTGACACGGAGAACACATTTCTGGAGCTGCCGCTGACAATCGTAGTGTTAGTGTCCTTCACGATACTCGCCACAAACATACTGCACCTGGGCTCCTCCGGGGTAAGCACCATGATTACAGTCTGAACCATGGTCCTTATATTCAACCAAAAAACATCGCTTTTGGTAGGGCCCCTAGATATATAGACGCAAAATACTATAATCTTTAGTATAGGGACCCCTAAAAGGGTACCCCTCATTTTGGGAAGCTCTCCAAAATCTATCTAAGGCACCAAGAGCAGCTGTATGCTATTGAGGAGGCTTATGAGCGAGACATCATCGAGAATGCGCACCTGGCTAGCTGTTAAGGAAGTTACCAGAATATGGGTCTATAGTAAATGATAGGGTTTATTGCACATATCTGTAACAGCAGCCCAGGAACTTTGCATGGAGCGGTAACTTTGGCCACAAAGGGATTGAGCAGGTCTTTTCCGTGGCCGACTTCTGGTCATGGATGCGGCTGGGGTTCCTTTCCCTCTTGGGTCGGTCGCAATGGCTCTATAGCGAAGCTGCTCCTGATGTGTTTGGAGGTCCTGTCACAGCAGGAACCTCCTACAACGTCAGCTCCTTGCCACAATCCTGGTTATTTGCAGGCTATCAGAAACCCACGCCGGTTGCAAATGATTATTTGCAGTACGCAAAGCTCGTAAGCGGGGTCAGGATGAGGCAGGCGGTTTCAGCTGCCGACTCGCAGTATTGCATATACCCAAATGCCTTGGACCCTCAACTCCAGAATGATTGGCTGCGGAAGCCCTGCTTCCCATCAGATCTTGGTGTGCTTTCTCCTGAATTGCAAGAAGCAGAAAACTTCCAGGAACTCGTCCGTGAAGAGTTTTTGTTTCCAGATCTTTCAAGCATGGCCGAGATGACCCGAAAGCTGCTGGACATGGAGGATGGTTGCCACTATGCCTCTTTGTCCGGAGGCCAAGACAGCTGCCTGTGCAACTGGTGCAAGGTGCAAAGCCCACTGCAGCCCTGGATAGATGAAAGGACAGCGCGCATTGAAATAAGTATGCTGCTGTTTAATGCCCAGTATGGAGCCTACACTTATGTGTCTGTCAATTTCATGCTGAATCGTGGAGGGCACATCCACGCCTTCATGCACTGCTTATCAGCATTTGTCAGTCCATTTCTACGGCCTTTCTCTGAGCTTGTTTTGACAATCATCGCAGCGATTCTGTGGATAGCTGCACTGCTGTACGCAGCTGTCGCAGAGATCTGGGAAATGATTCACACGGTACGTCACTCCAGCAATCGCTTTTACCGAGCATTGTGGCAAGAATACCTGGGCTTTTGGAATTTCGTTGACTGGGCATCAGTGCTTGTTGGAACCCTGACCATCGGCTTTTGGATACAAGGTCGACTGGCAGTGGCTGCACTCAACGAGCTACTGCCCTCCATGATTCAAGCCAGCCTTGCCCCAGACGCAGGGTACGAAGCGACTGCAAGAAGCATCTTTGCGCGGGCCGAGGTAGGGGCTTGAGTACGGCCTTAACACGCGACAACCATGCACCCCCGCCCCCACCCAAATATGCAACCCCCACACGAATAATGCCGAACCATGCTGAATAACATCTACTACGCCTTTTTATGGGGATGCGCGTCTTAGGGGGCCTCCGGTAATAGCCCCATGAGTTCAAGGAGTCCGGTCAGTGTCCAGACACTATGTAAGTGCTGCTGCTTCTCCTCTTTTGGGGACGTGGCATGGTTTTGGTTTACTATAAATCGGGACTACGGGGTCTCCCTGACATTCACGAAAGAGCAGGTGATGAGTAAAGCCAAGAAAGACACGGAGTTCCAGATGATGATCTATCCGCTGATCATCATGCTCAGGATTTTTCGATCATTTGAGGCGCAGCCACGGCTGGCCATAGTGACGGCTACCCTGAAGACCGCAGCTCCGGATTTGGCCCACTTCTTCATGATCTTCTGGTGTGTATACTTCTGCTTCGTTGTAAGCAGCCTGCTTTTTTTTGGCCAGGATCTTGAAAGCTTCAGCACGCTTGACAGGGCGCTTCACACTTCGTTCCTTGCAATGTTCGGGGACTGGGATTGGCTTGGGATGAGAGAGGTTGGTATGATGAGATCAGCGGCCTGGTTCTGGCTCTTCATGATTGTCATGGTCCTCTTCCTACTGAACATGCTTCTTGCCATTATCATGGATGCCTATCAAGTAGAGAAGTTCAAGGCCTCTGATGCCACAACGCTCTGGCAGCAGGTTCTGGACATGATCCAACGTCGGCGGCAGTACCAACGCGGTGAGCGAGTGCGGCTCAGCGATGTGTTTGAAGTCTTTCGGAAAGAGTTCAAAGGCAGAGAAAAGGAGATGATGTCAAGCGAGCGGATTATCTCTGTGGAGTATCTCGTGACGCACGTTACTCGTATGCCTTACAAGCAGGCCTACAAAACTCTTGTGAATGCTCTGAAGAGAGATGAGGAGCTGAGCAATGGTTTCATGAGTGAGGAGCAGGTGAACAAGCAAGTGGAGTCCACACTTGACACCTTCGCTGCCAAGATTGCCGCAGTCAGAGAAGATGTGGAATTTGTTGCAGATCAGCTCGACTTCTGGGACCGCCTTCAGGCTCCAGGCGATTCCGAATATGATTTCTACTTTGGGGCCGAAGGCCACACTCCTGATGAGGCTTCCAAGCTCTGGATACACAATTCCATCTCTTCAATTTCTGTCGAGCTTCAGCATCTCTTCAGCCGAGGGTTGCAAAGGATCGGTGTTTGGCAAGACGAGTTTGAGTGCGAGCAGAGCGAGCTGAACGAGAATCTCTTGGAGGTACACCAAGTCCTGCTGCAGTTGCAGGATGCCATAGTGTATCTGCACCTTGGGCCTGAATGTTCTATCTTTCGTATTGATATCATGGCATGCGCAGCTCAAGGTGCGCAAGAGAATCAGATTAGATGTAGGCAGAACCCCCCTCCCCCAGTGACAACCAGCTTGCCATTGCTCATCCGTTTGCTGCCTTGTGGAGGGAACTCATCGTACAACAGAAAAAAACAAAGCTAGCAATGCCGTTTTTGAGAACCCCAATCCATCAGCCAAAGTCTGGAAACAATTCCAGGCAAGGTGGCTGTTATTCGGAATATCTGTAGAAGATTGTCGTTGGGTCTGAGTCTGTCTGCACGGGACGTAGCTGACAAAATCCCGACCTGAAACAGCGTAACGGATATGAGCTTGAGGTAAGTATAGGAGGTAGACTGCTGGCGTCCGCACTGCTACGGCCTAGGCAAATGATTGTCGACTCCATGGACAACAACAAGGAGGATGTGCCCGGTGAGCCTCCGGTTGCCCCATGAAAACCATACTGACACACAAAGAATGGCGTCAGGAACATTGGGGCTTCGGGCTTTCAAGCCGAAGCCGGGGGGCACTCCTGCCAGCTCCAAGATGGAGCACCTGATTCTCCCTACCTCGCGACGAGGAGCCGAGGTCAGTTTCACGCTCGGGGTGGGATGTTCTAAAATGAGAGCATCACAACACCCGCCCATGCTCCGTCAAAAACAAGCGCGGAAAGATAGGAAGAAGTTAAATATCATCCAAGACGGGTCATGAGACGTATGCCAAATAATGGATGCTAGCGGGATGTGTTGTAATTGAGGCGATATGTTCGAGGCACATGTTGCAAGTGAGACACATTATTCTCCTGCACCATGCAAGATCAGATAATCTTGATAAAGCCCTAAACCGTAAATCCTAAGCACAAATCGATAAAAAATTAATCGATATTGATATTTCTCTCTCATATCAATAAATCTCTATTTCGAATAGGAAGATTTTTGGTCGTGAGGGCTCTATTCATTTTTTACTATCCGCGTCCATAAATTCTCGTGGATAGATACGGCCGACCGAATTATACGAAAAAACATTACGGAGGCGAGGGTCGTGCGACCGAAAATCCCCGAGATTTTTTAATTGCAACGCCCGTACTAAAAATCTCGAAGATTTTAGATCCTTTAGCTTTTTAATAGGGTTCTAAATCTCCCTGATTTGACAGGCGAGGCGGTCAATGAATTTGCAAGAGAGATTTTTGCAGGCGAATGATGCCGTCAGATTATTGAGATATTCTATTATTGATAGAAATATAGGAATATATATATATATAGATGATCTATAAAGAAAATCTATAGAAATTCGTTTACGAGGATCGAGAATTCTGAAATTTTATAATTTAAAGAAAAATATTTCTTATTTCAAAGAATGGGGAGATTTGATTATGAATTTGATAAAGAAATTTCAATTATAGATTTTTTCGCTTTCATATTCTATTGATATAATATGATCTGAAATTGGATTATCTAATTCTCATTAATATTGAATATTATTTCTCGAATTCACGATTGAATGATCTCTCTCATTTCATAATCTCTTTATATGATTAAATGATATGAATGAAAATCATATAATGTATATATTTGTCGTTTATTAATTTGGAAGATCTAGAAAAGATATGGATTCTTATGAATTCTTGCGAATATTAGAGTTCTTTCGATATAAAAAGATCTAGAATCTATATTCAAAATATATATTTAATAGAACGAGAATTTTGAGATATGATATTCGTTGACAAAGAATAGAAAGAGCTAGAATGGGAGCTAATGATTCGATTTATTATCTTAGATTTAGATCGATATTCGTCTCTTTATTCTGATAAATAAATGAAATTAAAACTTAGATAGAGAGAGAGATGAAGAGATAGGCAAATCGATTCGTAAATAGATAATTAAAGAAATAGATAAAAAGAAAGATCTCATCTAAATAGATATATAGAGAGCAAATACAATTTGCATCTTATGCTTCTCTATAAAGATATAGAATCTTTAATATTCAATATTTAGTGCGGATTTTTTCTTTATCTAAATAATCGTCATCTAAAGATCTTCGTATAGGATATCTATATTCCGTCATTTTAGCTTTCGTATATTTTACTTTATCTATAATCTATATTATATATTCTATGATATAAATAATTTCTTTCATAGAATAAGAAATTAGAGAGGATCCGCGATTCCATCGGCGGACGCAAGATAATATACGATAAATATAAAAGAATATTATATCTTGATATATTTCTAGCGATATATATATCTATATAATTCAATTTTGAAATGATTTCTCATCTCGACGATTTAATATATCGTTCGATTTTTCCGATTATCTTTCTTACGCCCGCATTATTTGCCGCGAGCAATCCCCAATCCATATTACCTCTTCCTTCTCTTTCATTTCCGATCGCCATCGCCGACCACGTCACCGGGGCGCCGAATGCTTCGCCAGGGCAACGAGGTTTCCGGACCCGGTCTAATAGAGCAATCCGATTCCGACGGAACCTCCCGCCATAAATTGATATATTCATGCCTAGCTAATAATAATGATTGGATATCAAATTAGTTCTATGACGGAGACGGCAAACGTAATAGAGAATTTTTTTGACGGAACGATTCATATGATATCATATATGCGAGTTTATTCTAATAACGATAAATCTCTTTGATAAAATATCTTCTTTCTTTTCCTATTATTTCTATCCCTATTTTCAATATCCTCCGAATAATCCAAATAAAAGATCTTCAATACGACCTCCTAAATTCCCGCATTTCTAAGATCTTTCGAGATTAATTGAAAAAAGATTATCGAATATCTTTCCCATTTTTATTTTCTAAATATCAAAATATTATCCTAAATCCTGAATAGGCAAATCCCAAAATTAGATATAAGAGATCTTTTCAATAAAGAAATCCAATATTAGATCGTATCGAAAATCAAATAGCCTTCTTTGAAAATATCGTCCGATATTATACGAATTCGTCGTATTATCCTATCATATCGTATTCGCGATTGACCGGCATCTATCGCCTCCATTCCCGATCGTCCTCTAATCGCGACCGCGACCGACCGCCGCCCCCACCTACCGCTCCCGCTCCCGACCGCCACCCATCAAGACCACCAACTCTACCGCCACCACTACCGATCGCCACCGTCCCCGCCTCCGCCGCCGCGAAGGCACCTGATCCACGCTCTAGATTATCAAAATTTTCTAGTTTTAAAGAAAATTATTGAGGTCAAGAATGAAATTCAAAGATTATTTGAAATATAGATATATTTTTTAGACCTTTATTCTCCTGGATTTAAGGAAATCTATTTCCAAATCTAAAAAATATGAAATCAACTATATATTATATTCTAGAATTTAAGCGTATATCTCAAATCTATTCTACTCTCATCCTAATGTTGCTCTGCCTTGGGCGGGTCACAGGGGCAACAAGGGCGGCGACAGAAACGAGGGTTGTTGTGGATACCAGTGCCGCAATAGGAGCTGATGGCAGGATTTCATTACGAATGCCAAGAAATAGCGAAAATATTGGGGAGGCAAGAAGCATACAGGCTAATGGGTTCAGATATATAGCAAAACGTGCGCTAAGGCGTGCACGCGCACGAGCGGAGCAGGCTGGAGGTACCAAGTCCAGAGAAAGATGATCTACGGCAAAGCAATTTAAAAATGCAAGAAGAAATGTTGAAGATCTGTCCAGCGAACGTTCTGAAAAAAAGGATGCAAACGAAGCAAAGCATCGTGAGAGTCAAATTGAGGCAAGGATCAGATGGGTCACGTTCAATATCAGCGGAGCTTCCAGCTCTACCTGGCAGGAATGAATGGCTTGGCTACAAGATAACTACCATCCTATGGTTTTAGAAAAATGGCAATAGGGACCTACGAATTCTAGATTTCAATCAGATCTCATAAATAGAATATATTCATTAAAATTCATTAGGAATTTCACGACCAAATATTATTTCCTGAGCTCTCTCCTACGGGTGCCGCTGCATGCATCTCAGAATATCTTAATCAATTTAAATAGAATTTGAATCAATGATATATTGATTTTAGTTGGAATCCAATCAGATTTCAATTGATCTGATTTGGATTTATATTGATTATAAATATATTTTCATTTTATTGATTTTAATTGGAATCTAATCAGATTTCAATCAATTAAATTCAGATTGAGATTGATATTCATTAGAATTCCAGAAGATTTCAATAGATTTTATTTGGATTTATATTATTTCTATTCAGAATCGAATCAGAATTCAATAGAATTGAATTAGATTTATATTGATTCTAATTAGAATCTAATCAAATTTCAATAGATTTCAATTAAATTAGTATTGATTTTAATCGGAATCCAAGCAGATTTCAATAGATATCATATTCATTGATATTGATTTTATTTAGAATATAAGATATTTTCAATAAATTCTAATCTAATCTATATTCGATTTAATGAAAATTCAATCAGATTTTCCAATTGATTTTAATTAGATTCATATTAATTTGAATCGAATCGAATCAAATTTCAATAGATTTTCATTAAATCTATAATAATTCTATTTGATTCTATAAGAATGAGATAGATTTTAAATTCAATATATATATATATTCATTTTCGTGGGTTCCAATCGGGGATTCCGTGAATATTATTTGAAATTAAATCTCTTTAAAAATATCTAGGATCCCTATAATTATAAGATTTTCTGATTATTGAAAGGAAGGAGAACGGCCGTATCAATCAAGAATATAGATTATATATCGGAACGATTCAAATGAAATATGATTTATGATTTTGATTCGGTATTCGTATCGAAGATCTTCTGGTCCGGCCGTTCCTTCATCTCGCCTCTATCACCTCCCTCCGCCGCTCCCGACCGCCATGCATCATCGCCTTCTCCACCGCCAATACTACCGATCGCCACCACCACCGCCACGACCACACGCGCTTCAGAATATATCATCCGGACATCGCCGAATATAATACTTGCAATGCTAGCCAATTAAGACCCCACTCGACCTAATGCCACAGCCGACCTTTCCAACTTAGAGCTGATACGAAATATCAAAAAAAAAAACAAAAAATAATTCTCGCATGCAGATCCCATATCGCAAGCAGGGAAAAACCTCGAGCCAATATTGAAGATAGACCATCCATAATCCCAAAATATCTTAATTCTGAATGGCGTAGAGCGACGGAATTCGAAATATAAATCTCATGAATTTTGCAGATTCTATATGGCACGAGCGATCGTAATAAATCATAATTTATCGAATGATTCCCAACGCATTCCCTCGAATAATGAAAAAATATCTTCTAGAAATCCAATAAAGATCTATATATATGCCGTCTCGGAAAACGACGATCTTCTAAGATATTATTGGCCCTTGAGGATTAGCATTTATTTTTGTCGTCACGGTTATTGAATAGAAATCTCAAAAGCGCTCTCAAGATTATCTCTGTACCTCGGCCCCGATCCCGGGGGACGTATCAATCGTCCTCCTCCAAACCCGCCGTTATCCTTGCCACCGCCCCCCCTCCTTCCATCGCCAAGTGAATTTATCTATTCACGCCGAGCTAGCAAGATACGATTGATTCAGATTATTTCTTCAGAAATTATGCGATTCTCATTTAGTCGGAACCGATTTCAAAAATATCCGGAATATTTTGCAAAATATCTATGATATTTCGAAGATCGTGACCTAATGAAATATCCTCGATAATTTTCTAAAAATGAATTCCAAAATATTCGAGATATTTTAGATCCGAATGAATTATGAAGAGACGGATATTTCTTCAATTTCTCATATTCGCAAAAACTCTATCTTCCAAAAATCCGGATTAAGAAAACGTACGCATATAGAAGATAAAAGAATCCTAGAATGAATATTTAGATATCTAGAAAAAAATCAATTTCGAAATATCTTTGAGTCAATCATTCCAAATTCTTTTTCTATATACGATCAGAAATATAAATCGCCATATTATGTCGTTCTCATTAATATAAAATATCAATTCCAAATCATTAATATTTTTGTTTATCAATTATACCTATCCTATTCAATTTTTTACTAATCCATTCTTCAATTTTTTCAATACATTTAGAAAATCTATTCAATTATCTAAATAATCTATTTATATATATATATCATTATATCAAGCTTCAATTTCTTTATAATCATAAATATCAATATGATAATTTCTATTATTCATTTATATCTTCTATATATCAGAAAGAAAGCAAACATTGCTAATATTTTCATATTTTGATATCTTTTCACTATATCAATATTTCATAACATTTGCCTACGTGCCGCCTCATATCTAATTTCATTCCTTATAAATTATTATTATGAATATTTTGGATCTAATTCATATTATAAAATGGAAAGTATCTTTGGATAAATCAATGCGACGTCTCTATGACAATTCGCAATCTTTTCGTATATTTTTGATTTGGATTTCCGCCTTCAGCCGTATTCAAGAATTCCTTCAATTCAATCATAGGGATGATTCAACCCGGATTTCATGATTTCAAATTGTAAGACATTTTCGAAACCATAAGCTAATTCAAAAGCATCAATTCATCCAATCTTTTTTTCATAATTTCATTTGGATCCGGTTATTGGTCCTGCCTTGGCATCTGACCGGCAAAAACCTAAATCCCAAAGCTGTACAATCAGACTTCACCAGGTCCGGGAGCCGGTGCCTCCCAAGACTGGGATGCTGTTAAGGAATTTACACAAATTTATCAATAATGGAGAATCAATTGGAAAATGAAATGGACACTGAGATAATGTAGGGATTTGAGGAATGTAATTTAAGTCACCATAATATGGGTATATAATGCATGATGGGGCTTCCGTATTATAGTAGTTTCCTTACCAGTAACCCAGAAAAAGCACATGGAGGTTTCCAAATATGGGGAGCATGAATACATTCCAGTCACGAAGAGCCTCTGGTTACTTCTGCATGTCGAAGACTGTTCTTGAATCGCGCGCTAGAGGCTGATTCACAGTAGGGAAAGCCCAGAATTTCAGTGAGGACCATGCCCAGAACGCTACTGTAAAGCACATGGAGTGAATCTCAAGTGGCCTATGTGACTGAACCCCAGTGAAGGTACAAATTCCTGGCCAGTTCATCGCTCCAAAGCCAAGCAAAACTGGGGAAACATAATGTCCCACAGGATGAAAAAGGAGCAAAAGGTAGCTGGAATCTGAGTCTCTGAGCTGCAGCCGGCCTACATCATGCATCAGATAGCTTCCTGAAGCCCCCGTCCCTTGAAACATCCCAATCTTCCGCCGAGCCGAGAAGTAACTGCCGGACAAAGGCCTCAATCACCTCCCACAGAGCATAGCCGTTCGTGTTCACATTGGCGTAATTCACGGAATCGAACTTCACAGTCACGGGGTACTTTACCTCGGCCACGCATGGAATTACGTAGATCTTCACACCGCTGACAGTGCGGAAAATGAGCGTTCCGCTGAACCGATCTGCAAAACCTGGTAAGTCAAGGGCCTCAGGCTTCTGGTTCACGTTCACGACCTGACCTCGCTGTTGGAACCTGCAGAATCGAAGCAGCTCAGTGCACAAGCCTGTTACCTGAAGACCTGAAGAAACATTTTCACCCGCAGCACTTTGGCACACATCGTTGTTGCACAGCACATCAATTCCATGCAGGCTGCGTTCCTGAATGCAAGGAACTTTGGCAAGACAAGGCTGAGAAACACACACGGAGCATGTTGCCAGACAGAATCGCAGAACTAAGGGCGGTTTCCAAAGTGCAGCACTTTAGCCAAGTGCTGCCCCTGTGGACCATTGTGCGGCAGAGCAGCCAATAAGACTCTGGTCGCAGGATCTTCACCCAGGAACCTTCATGGAACGCCACTACGGCTAGTAAATCGTGGAGACATCCGCACTTGAAGCGCTCAGAAGCATGCAGTCGTGAGTTCATGCAACGCGCACCAGCATCAAGCACCACACAAATGCACTCCCCAGACTTGCCGGGGAATGGATATCTGATGCGAAACCTCTGAGTAGTCGACCTTTCTTTGGGCCGACCCAAGGCCCTTTCGCCTGGCCAGGTTTCAAACCTTCTGCTATATTTCATCGCACATCTCTTTCTCATTTCAAGAAGGCGAGTGAAGAAAGAAAACAGGAACGCATGGTGTGTCACATGTGTCTGCCAGAAGGCTCATGTATGTGAACACCGTTCACTAGAAGCACGATGCCATTGTGCTAAACTGCAAAAAACCATCTCCGGCACAAGCCGCCATCATAAGAGGGCAGGCTGTCGCAGGTCGAACATGCCTTCCATATCTAAAGCAAGAGGATCCTCCCTACCAGGCCCCTAGAGGCTGCAAAAAGGACAACAAATACTCTGAGGTAACCCCCTACACCGGTCATACTGGGCCTTCTTCTTCGGCGCCTTCTTGGCCTGGCATTGGGGGCACCGCAGGCTCAGCAATTCATCCAGGAGTCGGATTTAGAAGTGCAAAAAGCAATGCTCGCCCCCATCTTTGCGACCAAGAGCTGGCACACATTCCTCCCCGCATGGAAAGATTCGCCACTTTGCAGCGCCGGGATGGGCCGGAGCGTTTGGCAGACAGCAAATAACTCTGACACTCATGCTGCTTGCCGAATTTCCTAGCTTGAGTCTCTTCAAAACTAAAATACCTAAAGATTCTGGAGCCCCATACCATATTAATATAGTTTATGATAATATCTACGAGCTACAACTCCAAAAAGTGGCAGCCTCGGCGTTCAGCGCCGTCGCTGACCGCTTGGGGGCGCTTCCCGCAGGCCCGACAAAGCTCAGGCCGCAGAGCCTGGCATAGTCATGGATGGGCATTGCTCCGATGATTTACATTTAAATACTATAATCCACTTGGATAATATACTGTGATATACTATGATGCACTATACGTATCCTGGCTCAAGCGATTTTGGGCATTGATTTCATCATGCTTCCATACGCGCTTGGCAAGTTCTTTGGAATTTCGAGGCGAGAGCACGTGGCGAGCGCCGCAACAACGAGCAGTTGGCCGAGTAGTGATCGCCTCATGGTACCTGAGGCTTTACCAACCTCATCTCAGTTTATCAACTCCACACAAAAAAAAGCATCCACGTTCTTGAATTCGTACTTCGAAGCTGTTCCCGGAAAGATCCTGAACCCGATGCCGGGCTGGGCCGGGCTTGGCCTTGGGTAAGGCAGGGGCTCCCCGCAGCTGTTGGCCCGGCGTTCCGGTAAGACCCTAGTCTGACTTGAACCCAGGCCGCCAGCTGTGAATCTTCAGTGGCTTGAAAGCTGCACACAAAGACAAGCAGCTGTGTCAAGGATATCTATTTGCGACTCTTTTCTTTGTGGCATTTTCATGTAACTCTCAGCCCGATCAGAGTATGCTACAGGCCGCCAGGCCACAGAAGCTCCTATGAGGAGACTGCAGTTCAAAAGGTTCAGAAGCCAGGCTTATCAAGACATGCTTGAAAGCCAGGCGATAGTAAACTTGCCAAACCTGCTCATGTACACACCTGCAGTGAAACTTGTTTTTTTTGCGCAGGCCCTTTCAAGCCTTCTCATCCAGCAGCTTTCTTGCCTCTGCCGATTTCACGGGCGCTGGAGCGTTCACTTGGGTGATGACTTGGTCCGTCACAAGCCAAGAGACCAGGATCAGCAGCACACTGAGACCGAAGTAGAGACCAGCGGTCCCATCCGCAATCATGTAGGGAACAGCTGCAGCCAGTGCAGGCCCTGGGCAGATTCCCACCAGCCCCCAACCAAGGCCAAAGAATGTGGCGCCCAGCACCAGCGAGCCATAGTCCCCAGTCTTGGAAGGCTTCTCAAAGCTGCAGTCTTCTCCGCAGAAGGGTTTCCTGTCCTCATTCTCTGCGAACAAGAAGGCCGGAAAGGAGACGCAAAGCCCCAGGCCCATCACAAAAGCCAAGCTTGGATCCCAGGTCCCCCCGAAGTCCAAGAAGTCCAGGACTTTTGCTTGGTTTGTCATCCCAGACACACCCAAGCCCAAGCCGAAGATTATTCCGCATGACAGTGGCGATACCATGCTCCGAAGAGACTTGGAGGGCAGGAACACCGCCAGCAAAGCAAGCAACAAGCTGGAAAGGGCTGCAGCCACCGGGAACTCCCATTTGGGAGGCCACTGGAGCTTCGCCATTTGCCAGGTGCCAAAGCCCGCGGAGTGCCTAGTCCAAGCCACTGTGATGGCCGCTACTCCCATGAAGGTGGGCACAGCAATCCAGCTGCGTGGGGCAAGTCGAGGGAGACCACAAATGCCGTGTCCACTCGTGCAACCTCTTCTTGAAACAAGCGGAAATGACTAGATCAAGATGAGTACCAGGGTATCCTAGCTAACTAGCTCACATACCCAAAATTAATTCGCCGAGGCTGTCCAGCCTCAGGGCGTTCAGATCCCTTTAAAAACCCCCTCTACTCCCCCTTGCAGACACGCCTCAGCCTGGCCACCCCCCCCCCCCCCTGCC